GTGCTACTGCCAGCCCAGGCTTGGCCGCCCTGTCCTCAGAAGTGCTTCTCACCATACTGAAAAGGCTCTAAAAAGACACCCCCAGTCCCACGGCAAGCACCCTCATTTCCACAGGAGAAACTCCAGGGAGAAGAGTCCGTGTTTGCCAACACTGCAGCTGTTCACATGGCTGGGGTAGGCTTCATCCAGGACCACTGACACCCCATCCTTACTTCATCCAGCTCTGGCTGGTGTTCCTTCACTTTTCCTTTGAAGATCTGATGTCTCTCCAGCTGTACCAACAGGGCAGAACAATGAAACCCCCAAATAAGCAGACTCTCCTGTGGTTTTCTCAAAGAAAATGAAGAAAGTTTCTAGGTTTAAATAATTAGCATTTTGGTTTACATAAACATGGTAGATGTGTCAAATCAAGAAACCACCATTCTGGTTAAGCACTTTGCACACTGTGGGCACTTCAGCCTCACCAGTCCTGCTGCCTTTTAGGCTCCCAAGTTTTTCAACACCAATTTTCCCCCAGGTTATACTGGTGCACTGTTATTTAAGCAAAGCCCTCACCCTGACTGAGACATTCGTGTTTCACTTGTCCATCAGAAGATCTGAAGGATTAAAGCCCTGGTCCTCCTTGTTCTGCATTGACTCACTGATTTGCTCCAGTAACATGCCTTGGTTCCTCCTCTCACCTCCAGGACTCAAGTAGTGACTTCCCTCTTCAGGGATGCTGTTCTGATCTATGCATAGAGCTCACTTTAAGAGCAAGATAGAAAAAGCTGCAGAAATATCATACTCTCTATTGTAGAGAGCATGATCATTCCTGTTTCACCTCCCTGGGCTCATTCTTGACCTTAGAGTAACTTTTCCCTGTTTGTTTCCAAACACCCTTGAAAAGATTGTCATGAAATTAATAAGTATTGACAGGAGGGTCAGACAGGCAAAGCCACATCTGGATGGATACCACAGACATTAGAAATTATTAAAATGCAGGTCAGATTATTAAAATAGCTTTTTTCTTAAAAAAAAAAAAACTAAATAAGAACTATGAGGCCACAAAAATGTGCCTGAAATCTTGACTACAAATCTGGGCTCCAGATACTTCAGTGCTGGGAAGAAGGAGACAAAGTTCCTACATACAAAGCAACACCAGCATGTGAAGTGTTGTTTCATGCTGGAGTGAAAGTTATGCTTGTGCCCTTATAAAAACTTTTTTCTTTAAAACAGCTTTGTATAATAGGAGGGACAGAAAAGGGTGAATGCTGATGAAACAGGATATTGCTGGGACAGGCACACACGTGGCACACAACACACCATTGGATCTTGACTGTTGACAGTTGTCCTGTCAGAGCCCCTGCCCTGCTCTGGCAGAACAGACTCTCATGTGCCCTGGCCCTGCTGTGCCTGCACTGGATATTGACCAAATTTGCAGTTTCAAAGTTCTTGTTCAAGTGATAGGAAAATCTAGATAACAAAATAGCATGCCATTAACAACCTCACTGCCAAAACATAATACCTAGATGTGAGCAAATACATAATTTGTAATTCATAACCATACAGAGAGGTTTAGACATCACAATGTTTACTGTC